TGTCATTCAGTTTGAAAAATCTTTTGATTTCCATCCTAATTTCATCATTGACACAAGGATCGTTCAGCAGCAGTTTGTTTAATTTCCATGATTTTGTGTAGATTTGAGAGTTCTCTTGGAATTGATTTCTAGTTTTATTCCACTGTGATCTGAGAAGATACATGGAATGATTTCAATTTTTCTAAATTTGCTTAGACTTGTTTTGTGGGCTAACATATGATCTGCCATGGAAAATGTCTTATGTGCTGATGAGAAGAATGTACATTCTGCAGTTTTTGGGTAGAATGTTCTGTAGATGTCTGCTAGCTCCATTTGTTTGACAGTCTTTTTTAAGTCAGTGTTTGTTTGTTGATCTTCTGCCTTGATGATCTGTCCACTTCTGTGAGTGGAGTGTGGAAGTCCCTAGAAATTATGATGCTGCTGTTTATTTCTTTGGTTAGATCTAGTAGAATTTGTTTTATGAATCTGGTAAGTCCTGTATTAGGTGCATATATTCCTAGGATTGTTATATCTTCTTGCTGGATTGCTCCCTTTATCATTATATAAGGACTATCTTTGTCTTATTTTTTTTTTACCATTGTTTATTTAAAGTCTATTTTATCTGATATGAGAACAGCTGTTTCTGCTTGCTTTTGGTTTCCATTTGCACAGAATATATATATATTTTTTCATCCCTTTACCTTGAGTTGGTGAGAAACTTTGTGAGTTAGATGGGTTTCTTGGAGACAACATGGTGTCTTGGTGTGTGTTTTTTCATTTGTTCAGCCTGCCTATATCTTTTAAGTGGAGCATTAAACCTATTTATGTTCAATGTTAGTATTGATATGTGAGGTACAGTTCTGTTAATCATGTTGAGTGATACCTAGTTGCTTTGTTTTCTCCCTTATGTTACTGTTTTATGAGTTGTGAGCTTTACTTTTCGGATGTTTTTATGCTGGTGGGTATTGATTGTTCTGTTCTATGTATGGTGCACTTTTAAGCGTTTCCTTTAGGGCAGGAAATGTTTGTTTGTTTGATTCTCTGTGAAATACTTGACTTCTCTTTCATTTATGAAACTTAATTTTGCAAGATACAAAATTCTTGGCTGTGGCTGAAAGTTATTTTGTTTAAGAAGACTAAAAATGGGACCCCAATCCCTTCTGGCTTAACAGGTTTCTGCTGTTATTCTGATGGGTTTTCCTTTTTAAGTAACTTCTTGCTTTCATCTCACAGTTTGTAGGATTTTCCCCCTCACTTTGACTTCGGTCAGGCTGATAACTATGTGTCTTGGTGATTTTCTATCTGCTCTGTATCTCCCAGGTGTTCAATGACCATCTTGTTTCTGGACATCTAAATGCAATACCAGGGAAGTTTTCCTCTATTATTCTCTGAAATAGGTTTTCCATAACTATTGCTTTTTCTTCTTCTCCTTCTAGGATATCTATAATTCTTATATTAACTTGCTTTGCATAATCCCATATTTCTCACAGTGATTGTTCATGCTTCTTTGCTCTTTTTTCTACATTTTTTACTGACTGGTTTATTTCAAAATCCTTGTCTTAAAGCCCTGAAATTCTTTCTTCTGTTTGGTCTAGTCTGTTGCTATTTATGCTATATTTTGAAATTCCCTAAATGATCTTTCATTTCTATAAATTCCGTTATCTCTTTTCTAATATTACCTATCTCATTTTTAATAATTTTTAATTCATGTCCTGAACTATTATTATTATGTTTTTGTTTCTTTGAAATAATTTTCTACCATCTCCTCAATTCTATTCATCTTACTTGCCATCCATAATCTGAATTCCATATCTGTCATTTCAACAATTTCTTTTTGGTTGGAGTCCATTGCTAAAGAGCTAATGTGATCCTTCGGAGGGTACCAAAGCAGCCTGTTTTTTCATGTTGCCAAAGTTTCTACACTGGTTTCTTCTTATCTGGGGCCTCTTCTCTTAGCCCCAAACAGATAGAAGAATGGCACACCTGTTCTCCTCTGCTAGGACCTCTGTTGCTCATTGAAGATAGGATGGATCCTTGGATGGCATGTTTGGATACTACTCTGGAAGCTTTACCAGACAGGAGAGAGTTGGATGCACTGTGACCCTTTAACACTGCTGCTCTGCTGTGTCTCCCCTGTTCCCTGTGGTTGTCACTGGGCTGCTGTGGCAGGGCTGGCCCCTGGTGCAAGGTGCACACATGAAGGGGGGCTGGCCTGCAGGACTGGGTGTGCATATGGGATAGAGGAGATCCACTGGGCATGACTCACATTCATGCATGCCTGTGTAGTCGAGGTGGCAGGTGCATGAATGGGCTGAGGCATGCATAGGATGTGACACATATGCAGGGTGTAGCAGGCCTGAGGGTTGAAGCCAGCTTATAGGGCATGGGGGCTTGCAGAGTGGCACCAGTCCCTGGTGTGGAGTAGGCCTATGAGGTACCGCACATATGCAGGATAGAGTGGGTCTGTGTGTCACAGCTCTTGTGTGGAGCATGCAGGACCCTGGGACAGAGCAGGCTCGCAGAACAAAGTGGCTGCACAGGATGGACCAAGTCTGTCAGATGCTGCACTCACATGCAACAGCCAGGGTGGCCTCAGAGCAGGGCACACATGCGGGCAGGCCAGTAGCAAGGGAAGGGGCAGCAGTCACAGATCCGACCCCTGGACAGAAGAAGCATTTGGGAGTTGGGATGCCACAATGGCACCAGCCACAGTGCCCTGGGTTCACAACCAGCTGTCCCTTCTCTCCAGAGCAACGCAGCTGCACAGCGTCCAGTCAGGTCTCTGCATCAGTCCGGAGGAGGCCTGCTGTGGGGCAGGTGCCCCCTGCCATTCTAGTTGCAGTATCCTCAGGGGAAGCACAGAGCCTGGCGTTCTCTTCTCTGTCCCTTTCCCACATGTGGGCGCCTTCCCTAATGACCTCCAGTCCTGCTGAGCAGTTCACCCCACTTCTCTCTTCTTTACTCCACTGCCGCCTCCTCTCTGGGGATTCTCAGTGCTCTCACTGAGACCATCCATCCAAAGGTGGCTATCTTATTCACCACTTTCTAGTCTCTGTGCGAGAGCCGCCTTATGCAGGCTGCTTCCCGTCTGCCATCTTGCCCCCCTTCAAAAATCTGTGTTGGTTAATTTTATGTGTCAACTCGATGGGGGTCACTGGGTGCCTAGTCTGTGAGGGTGTTTGTAGATGCCATCAGCATTTGAATTGGTGGTCTGAGAAAGCAGATGGCCCTCCCCAACGTTGGTGAACTGTCATCTAATTTGTTGAGGGCCTAAATGGAACAACAAGGTGGAGGAGGGAGAATTTGCTCTCTCTGCCTGATTGTCTTTACTGGGGCATTAGTCTTCTCAGGCCTCAGATTGGAACCCTCTGCTGGTCTCTCCGCCTTAGGACTCAGACTGGAACCACACCAACAGCTCTCCTGGGTCTCCAGCTTGCAGGCTGCAGATCATGGGACTTGTCAGTCTTCATAATCATGTGAGCCAATGTCTTATAATAAATCTCTTTATAGATAATAAATGTCTTTATATGATATATAATGTTAAAATAATTAAAATAATACATCTCTTTAAAATGTTTACATATATATATATATATTATATATATATATAAACATATTAGTGTTGTTTCTCTGGATAACCCTAATGTAGTCTCTGATCAGGGAAGTAACATTGTCAAAAGTGGTTTTGTAGAAGGATCTGATTTTCCTATGGCAAAAGAACTTGAGAAGGCAGACCAGTGACTAGAGCAGACTGTAGGTGAAAAGTGAATGTTTATTTGGATTAAACAGAAAATGTGTACTGGGTGTTAGCATTGGGATTGAAAAAAAAAAGGATAATTAGAAAGATTTAAAAAGAAAAAGATGGTGGCACTATATAAGCAAAAAAAGAGTTATTGATTATTCTTAGACTTTAGTCTGATAGACTGGAAATAAGAGGATATTGTCTGAAATAGGATAGTTTGAGAGGAGAAATAAGTGCTAGGGGAATAGCATAAATTGCAATGATGTTATATTTTAATTTCATTTGAATAAATTACAGGGTATAAGGGGAGGCATATTGTTCACAAGTTCAGTCTTTTTATTTTCCTTTTTTTTTTCTTCCACAATTATCAGATTCTTTCCAGGCCCTATTTCCACCTTTTCTTTCTGGATTTTTTTACTAACTCTTTTAATACACAAAATCAGTCTTTCTGCACACAAACTTCCATTTATCAAATAATGCTATTTGGCAATTTATCCATATTTCCTTAAATTGTGAAACAAAACCCCAACCAACCTTTTGTAAAGTTTGTCATATTTTGTGACACTCAAGCACCATATTCATAAATGGTGACCCTACCAAATGATGCATTTTGTTATAGTGATTGATTTGTACGTGGTTTGCTGAACACAGTGTTGCAGGCTTTTTGGCTAATGTAATTTATTAAAACCCTCTCAGCAAAGTGCTGTTACAATGACCATCTTGTGGGACTGGGAAATAGCCTTATTATACAGAACTTGGTGTTATACACTAATGGCATTTATTAGAATGGAATTCTATATGTATTATTACTTCTGACATCAGCCTGGCCTTTTTAGCCTCCTCACAGTATGCAACTTTGGTAATTATGTTAATGCTAGCTAATTTATGAAGACAACTTCCTAAAGTGCACTTAATTAACTTGGAGATTTTGTAAACAGCTGTACATGTAGGTTCCACAAATTGTGGGGCTATGTCAATCTGACATGTGTACAGTCTGCCTTCCTAACCTCATCCCGTTTTACACTAAAGCTTAAAACAAAGAGAACCTCCAATCTCTGGTATCTTTTGCAGCAAGTGCTTGTAGAAGATTATGAAATATGTCACTTTGGGCTCTATGAAGATGAGGATGATCTGATTCCTCTGGTCTGAGTCTGTTGAGCCAGATGAGTTAGGTAGATTGTTGCCTTTTAAGTTGGTATACAGAAAAATATTAAAGTTTGTTTCCTTAGCAAAGGGTACAATTTTTTCCCAGCATGTTGCTGCAATGTGATTTTGCCAGTCAGTTTGCTAGTCCTGCTGACTAACATTGCTCTTCAGGGGACTGTTCTGAAAATTGGATTTCTCATTCAGAAGGTCCCAGGGTCTCTAATTCCCTTCAGTCCCAGCCACTGGGTTGATTTGATGTTATAGTGACTCATCATACTCATTTGAATGGACATCACTTGATGTTTGACCTACATTATTAAAATCTCATACTCCATATCCATAAGAGGAAAGATTCATAAACCTAGAACATTTGGCTAGGCTTAACAGTGCCACACAAGAAATTACACATGATAAAAATTTAAGAGAAAAGTACAGTGAATCACATCAGAGCCAAGACCAAGTTAATCGAGATGGAGGGAAGGAACATCATCAGGAAAGAACCAAAGGGGGAAAAAGAATCCTACTACATACAATTAGAAGAAATAGCAATTGCACAAAGTTAATGACAATGGAGAATAGGGATGGTTTTTAATAATCTTCTTATTACTACTGCATGAAATCACACTTTCAGATAAGTCCTAGAAACTAAGCTAGGGATTTGCCTTTGATTTTCAATGGTCCCAGCAAGGTCAGTTCCCCTCATTAATTTAAGCTACAATGCTGGGTACAATCTCTTTGGGAACTAGCTAGATTACATCTAAAGATAATCAAACATTTATTGCTTAGCCTTTTCTTTGACTTCAATAGTCAAAACCTCTTCTCCAGACTCAGCAGACGGGGCCATGCTGATGATGAGTGATTGATGGGTAGTTCCTCGGGGTAAAACTACTCTTTTCATCAACAGGGGCTTTTCTTCCATTGTAATAGAACTCGCTGTACCTTTGGATCTGTCTGGTGGTTCCTCTGCTGGCTCTCTTCCTTTATCTTCATATTCTTTTCCTTGACCTTCTCCTCCTTCAGTATTTTCCTTTTTTTCCTGGGTTATAAAGAATTGGTATTAAAATAATAATTAAATACATTGAAGTCTTTTGATTAGCATGTAATGGCTAAGATCACCACCAAGACAAAAACTATCCAAATTGAGCGAATATGGGCATCGTGTCTGCCTTGCTTCTGACTATCATTTGACTAAGTTTTCTGGTGTGCTGGAGAATGCAGGTGTTAAATTTGAGTTACGGTATTAGTCCAAATTGCTTTTTTTTGTCCTGGCCAGGGAATTCTCTTCCTGTTGTTCTTCATACTCTCTGAATTATCAGACTCAGTGCTTTTAAAATATTTACTTATTTATTTTATGGAGGTAAATTTTTAAATATTTATTTTTAATAAAAATGTATTAACCAAATATCACATGAAAGTACTACAGAGAGTATTGTTTTCCTCCTGCATAAGCTCATGGGAGAACTTCCGGGAGAAACTCATCTCTTTCCTACTGCAATTTTCTCCTTTTGTCCCGTAGGTGCTTGAGCTATCATTTTTGAACGTATTGTGTTTAGTATTATCTATAGAGATTTCATAAGGGCCGGGCGCGGTGGCTCATGCTTGTAATCCTAGCACTCTGGGAGGCCGAAGCAGGTGGATTGTTTGAGCTCAGGAGTTTGAGACTAGCCTGAGCAAGAGTGAGACTCTGTCTCTACTAAAAATAGAAAGAGATTATCTGGACAACTAAAAAAATACATATAGAAAAAATTAGCTGGGGATGGTGGTGCATGCCTGTAGTCCCAGCTACTCGGGAGGCTGAGGCAGTAGGATTGCTTGAGCCCAGGAGTTTGAGGTTGCTGTGAGCTAGGTTGATGCCATGCCTCTAGCCCAGGCAACAGAGTCAGACTCTGTCTCAAAAAAAAAAAAAAAGAAAGCACTTACATAAGGTGTGTGGCTCCTGCCTATAGTCCCAGCTACTCAGGAGACTGACGGGGTGGGGGTGGGATCACTTGAGCCCAGGAGTTCAAGGTCAGCCTAGGCAACATAACAAGACCTTAATCAATAAAATAAATTTAAGAAATTTCATAGTAAAAAATGGTATGCTCTTTTCCAGTAATACTTGGGATGAATTTGAGAGAGGCTTCTCTGAGATATGAATGTGCAGAGAGAAAGTTGAAAATCTAACTTAACATATTTATTTATATATTTCTTTACCTTCATACATCTTTTATGCAAATTACTATTCCTATGCTAATGTAAATGAGGCATTTGGTTTACACTGTATCCCTGATTTTCACCACAGTGTTGTGTGTTTGGAAAAGAAAGAATATGAATAATGAGAGTTAAATGTATTTATAAATACATATATAATAAAGCCATCTATAATAAACACGTGGGGATTAAATGTGATGCTATATGAGGATTCAGTTTAAATAATAATAAGTGCTATATATAATGCAGTCATTATTAGCATTAGATTAGTCCTAATTTTCCCAGTGTCTGAAACAGAATTAGAGTAGGAGCTTGAGTGCACACACTTAGTTTAGGGCTATCTATTGCAGCCCTCCATTCACTCTGCTTTGTTACCTGAGCTGTTTGTTCCCTCTTCAAATTGAGTAGTCTTGCAAGACTTGTTTTTCCTGCATCTCTCAGGAGAGTTTTAAACAATTTGGGGGTTTCTTCTTTTGGTGGGAAGAGAAAGGCAAGTTCTTTCCTTGGAGGGGCTGCCTCTGCGCCCTTAGTCTTCTGCTTTAAAAGTACTCTGGACAGGAGAGAAAAACTGTTTTAGGTAGCTCTGTGAGAGTTCTGGCAAAATCTACCAGAAAAACTGTGATTCCTGCTAACCTGTGAAGTTCTAATGGGTATCTCCATTAAAAGTTGTTTATTAAGCGCATGTCATGAAGAAAGTTGATCACAGTTATAATACAGTTCCTCTCATCTTAGATGTTACAAGGTAAAATCAACTCTGTCCCTCTCAAATGGAGCTTTAAAGGTTGTACCTGGCTTTCTTCATGAGGACCTTTTCAGAATCTGGATAATGCCTTACAATTTCTTGGAGAGTCTTTTTGTCCAGAGTTAAGAGATTGGCAAATCCATGGGCCACCACGTTGGCAGTTCGACGGTTTCCTCCTCCTGTTGCTAGAAGGCTGTGAGAGAGAAAAGTGAGTCTTTGCTGTCAATTTCACTTTTCCTCCACTGAAATCTTTAAAAAAAATAAATAGCAACTATGATATAATCAAACCATTTACACTGATTCAGAGATCATTTCCTCTGGAGGTGAGAGTTCAGGGGATTGTGTAGAGTCAAAACTTGGTGGCAATAGAAATGGCAACAGTTTTCAACATGTTTGATCGCTAACTCCTGCCTCAAATCAAGGATTTATAGTTCTCAGTGCCCTCTCAGATCCTTCATCCCAAATTCCAGAAGTGCAGAATCCTTTTGGACTCAGTATCCTCTGTTTGCTCCTTCAGATCCACTTTTCACCCTCCCCATGCTCCTTCACTCCCCAGAAAGCTAGCCTCTGTGGGCATGGCTTCTGACTTCCATTTGGGTTCAGCCATTGGGAAATACCAGCAGGAAATCAGAGAGCAGAAAGGGAGTGGTGTCAGAGCATTTATTTCCACTGTTCTTTCCCTGCCAGGTTTTAGGTTAGCAGTGGCTGCAGTTTTCTACCAAAATCTTCAGCTCCTGACACATTGGTATCTTCTAGAAGTGCAATTCCCACAGCTCTTTCTGGGTTCTGGTAACTGTGCCCTTCCCTTGTCCTGTTCAGGCCTCTCTGTAACAAGGTAACAGTTGTTTTGCTGTTGCTAGATTTGAGATGCGTTGCCATCTCTTGTTGGCTACTCTTAGACTCTTCCTCACTTCTGTCAGTAATCCTGTCATTAGAATCTTCTCAGTTGCCTCACTTGAGTGTTTCTGTTTCCTGACTGGGCTCTGAGTGGCGCAGCTCCCAACAGCAAACCTGAGGGCCAGCTCTCATTGATGCCTTGGTTACCTCAGCAGCATCCCATCTCTTCTCCTACAAAACTCCCAAATCATCTTGTTTCTCATTATCATAAGCCGCTCTATGGTATAGTCACACACAACTCTGCATCTGAATGTTAGTGAACTCCGGGCTCTAGGTCTCTGAGGGACATAGAAGAGCATTTTGCATTTGAGAAATAACCAACAGATAGTGGAGGAATAAGTAAACAGAGAAAGGACTAAGATAAGTGAATAAAAATTCTATCATTTATCAATGATCTGAGAAAGAAGGGTTGGTCTGTAAAATCTGAACAAGAAAAAACACATTTCAAATGTTTAAAAAAGACACCACAGGTTCCTCACTGAAAGGATAACACAGCAGATTGATCCTCTTGACATCACTCAGTTAGAAACCTGATTAGAAAGAAAGATTACATTAATTAACACAGTCTCTAGAGGCAGAAAGGACAGAGAAAACACTTTGACCTTTGGGAACAATGAGCTGTGAGAAGCTTCATGGGCCCCATGCCTGAAGATTTATGTTAGATGTTATGAATATCTCCTAATGTTGGTGTAGAAAAGAGAACATTCCGGTTGGTTGCTAACTGTTCAAAATCTAACGTAGGGTTTCAGCTCTGACAGGTAAAGAGCTTGGAAGTCATTATCTATCCCTACAACAAGATAAAGCTGGACTGGCTGGGTGCAGTGGCTCACACCTGTAATCCCAGCACTCTGGGAGGCCCAGGCGGGTGGATCACTCAAGGAGTTGGAAACCAGCCTGAGCAAGAGCGAGACATCGTCTCTACTAAAAATAGAAAGAAATTAATTGGCCAACTAAAAATATAGAAAAAATTAGCTGGGCATGATGGTGCATGCCTGTAGTCCCAGCTACTCGGGAGGCTTGTGGGAGCTAGGCTGACGCCACGGCACTCTATCTAGCCTGGGCAACACAGTGAGACTCTGTCAAAGCAAAAACAAAAAGAAAAGAAAAGAAAAGAAAAGAAAAAAGAAAAGAAAAGAAAAGAAAAGAAAAGAAAAGAAAAGAAAAGAAAAAGCTGAGCTGAACAAATGAAAAATTAATGTCTTCTCTTGGATCCCTTAGAGGACTAAGGTCATGGGGCAAACTACCACCCCCAAATTTGGAGATTCAAATGAATCCATATAACCACAGCTATTAATAGGTCTGTTTACCTAGAGCAGAAGGCCCTGGATTCATAACTGATGGGAACTCTTCAGTGGTAATTTTAACAAATTGTTAGAGGCTGAGTGTGAACTAGCATGAGGGTGAGAAACTCTTGGGGGCACAATTATGAGGACATTCAACATTTTTATGGACTTTACCTCCAGGAATTTCATCAGGTTCTTAAGTTAAAGAGCCAAGAGAGATCTTCCCACTCAAAAAACACCTCTGGCAGGCATACCGGAAGATTAATCACTGTGAAATAGCCCACAGCATATGTGTTCTCTATGCCACAGGCCTACTATTTAGGGAAAAATACTTTACCAGAACCTTATCCCACCTGAAGAAAGAACATTTACCCCAAGGCATCCCCCTCAAGCCTGTCTTTTCAAGCAGGGATGGGAAGCTAAAAAACTCTTGTGAAGGTCATACATAGCAGTGGGACACAAACCCCTCAACTGAAACTTAATCATAGAATTATAGATAGTTTCCCTCCCCTTTACCTTACCCCCACACCGAAAGGGCTCCTGTATAATAATAGCGAATTATAGCTGAAATAGCTGCAACATGCAGATCCTCTCTGAGCAGCCTCTCTTAGGCTTCTCTAAGCCCAAAGTCAACAGAAGAGACAAAAACAGGTACCTGGGAGGAACTTGAAGCCTCTGGCACCTGCAGCTACAGCAAACATAAAACACAGCCCAACTCCTAGCTAGATTAGCATAAAACTTCACAATAAAAGACCTGTTTCCACAGTTCTTATTATCTGTTAACATAATTTCTGGCTTTCAACAACAAAAAAATTACAAGGACTATTAAAATATAAGTGTTAGGTCCAGAGCAGGGGTGGGGGGAGGGAGAGAGAGAGAGAGAGAGAGAGAGAGAGAGAGAGAGAGAGAGAAAGAAAGAAAGAAGAGAGAAGAGAGAGACTGTGCAGATGGTTGGAGGCTGAAAAAGGCTTCCTGGAGAGAAAAGGGAAGAGCCCTGAGTTTTATAGAGGGTTTTTATTTAGTTTTTTTCAGGGGAGTAAACAAATTCTTTTCAAACAATGGGGAGGGATAAGGAAAGTAAGTTCCTCTCTTGCCTTTCATTCCTGTATCTCCCTAGGGGTCTGGCAAAGGCTGCATACCTAATACACTTCTAGGAAGGGGAGAGGGGTGGGTTTTATAAGAGGTTTGGGTGGAAGTTTGGGGAGGGTAAATTCTTTAAGCCTAGCAGTAAGAAAAAACACATCTCAAGAGACAAGAAAGCATCAGAAATAGTCTGAAATGTGACACAGATGTTGGAATTATTAGACATGAAATTTTTAAAAATTAGAATAAATATCTTAAAGAATTTAATGAAAACAGTAGATATCATGCAAAAACAGATGGGTAATGTAGACAGACAGATGGAAATTCTAAGAAAGAATTCAAAGGCAATGCTAGAAATCAAAAACACTGTAACAGAAATGAAAAATGCTATTGCTGGGCTCATCAGTAGACTGAAGATGGTCCAGGAAAGAATCAGTGAGCTTGAAGATAAGGCAACGGAAACTTTCTAGACTGAAACGTAGAGGAATGAACAAAATGGAAATGCAGAGGAATAAACAAAACTGAACATAAAGAACTATGAGATAATTCTCAGTGTTGTAACACACAAGTAGCTGGAATACTAGAAGGCGAAAGAAGAGAGAACAGAAGACATGCTTGAATTAAGAATGGTTTAGGACTTCCCAAGATTAATATCAGACATCAAACCACAGACCCAGGAACACTGGAGAACATCAAGCACAACAAATACCAAAAAAGCGCTGACTCTTGGGCATATCATAATCATCCTGCAGGAAACCAAAGACAAAATCTTGAAAGAATCTAAAGGGTCAGGGTAGGGGAACAAACCCCAAGCTATAGAGAAACAAGGATAAGAATTGTAGCAGATTTATCATCAGAAGCTATACAAGCAAGAGAGTAGAAGGAAATATTTAAAGTGTTACAAGAAAAACCAACCTGGTACTCTATCTTCAGTGAAATGGTCTTTCAAAAGTAAAGGAGAAACAAAGACTTTCCCAGGAGATCTGCCCTGCAAAAAATGTTACAAGTTCTATAGGGAGTAGGGAAATGATGTAGATCAGAAACTCAGGTCTACACAGAGAAAGGAGGAACATTAAAAAAGGAGTAAATGAAGGTAAAGTAAAATACTTTTATTCCTAATTGATTTAAAGATAATTATTTAAATAATAAGTAGCAATCATTGGGTAATTATAGCCTGTGGATATGTGAAATGAATGACAGCAATGTCATAAGAGCTGGGAGGGAAGAATTAGAAATATTCAAAGTTACCTGTGCTACATGTGAAGTGGTATAGTGTTATATAAATGTAGGTTTAGATTAGCTTACAATGCCTATTGAAAACTTTAGAGCAACCATTAAACATTAAAAAAATAAGCATACTTGTTATACTAAGCAAGATGAGAAAATGGAATCATATAAAGTGCTCAATTAAAGCCAGAAAAGGAAGAAAAAGGCAGGAAGGAACCTAAGACAGAAAGTATGTATTGGGAATCCTTAAATGTTGACCATGTTAATGCCTACTTATTTTGCTTGATGATTGCACACTCCATTTTTTTTTTTTTTTTTTTTTTTTGCTCCATGGCAAAAAAACACAACAAAAAACACCAAACACACTATCTTTAGTCCTTTCCTAAGGTTGTCTTTTTTTTTTTTTTTTGAGACAGAGTCTCGCTTTGTTGCCCAGGCTAGAGTGAGTGCCATGGCGTCACCTAGCTCACAGCAACCTCAAACTCCTGGGCTCGAGTGATCCTCCTGCCTCAGCCTCCCAAGTAGCTGGGACTACAGGCATGCGCCACCATGCCGGCTAATTTTTCTATATATATTAGTTGGCAATTAATTTTCTATTTATATAGAGACGGGGTCTTGCTCTTGCTCAGGCTGATTTCGAACTCCTGACCTCGAGCAATCCGCCCGCCTCAGCCTCCCAGAGAGCTAGGATTACAGGCGTGAG